GGTGCGCCAATTAGCCAACAGAGCTTCATCATCAATTGTTACGCTTCCGCTGAAGAGACCTGAACCCTTTTTAGGGCTTTTCGTAGTCCTCCACGCTGCAGCAGCACGTATAGCCAAATCTTCATTGCGATGACGACAGCCAATAGCGAAGAGGGAGAGAGCATTCGTGGAAAGAAAGCCGCATAGCTTTCCAGTGACTAAATCGATGGTTTCCGTGAAATCATACTTCTTTGCTGATTCGAGGACACTGTCCAATAGCTCAAGACTTGGGGCGAAAGGGTCTTGCACAGGATAACAGTACCGCAGCAGGCAGTCGAGCGTTTTGCTGTCTTCCACCATCTCGACGACGGGGCGCTCTGTGGGGTCGCTACTTGCAGGCTGCGGGATGGAGAACATGGTTTCGAAGAATGAGGACGCCAACGAGAGAACAATTTTATGTGCGTGGAAGTCGACCCCGTCAGAGGTGCGAAGTATGACATCCGCGGAAGGTTTGTTAAACGGCGATGACGCAGGCTGGATCTTCTGAAGCGCCTTAGGTTCAGAGCTCATTGCAAGTGTCGAGAAGACTAAGTCGGCACGTAATGATGAAATACGAATGGGAGTCGATACGAAGAAGGATGTAAGTCGTTGAGATGATCGTAGTGATAAGCGCGTTGTTTGTTTTTTCCTCTTAAGCCAAAATTGGTCGAAAAAAGGCTAATTCTGCCTCGGTATCGGCCCTGTGAAAACCGGAGAAACTCAGGGCCTTGTTCAGCCAGCTCTTGCTTGTGAGGCAACAGCTCTGCTTAGTGTCACCCAGTGGGGGCCAACAACGCACCAAACTTGAAAGTCGCTTTATTGCAGCGGCGCAAACAAAGCGAAACCGCCACTGCAAGCGGCATTGTGCCAGAATGCCCGCTGCAACTCACCTGCAAGATGAATAGCTGTACGTATACAAGATCCTGTCGACCTGCTTCGTATAACTGCCACGAAGCTGGTCTTCTCTCATTTAGCTGGCCGCAGGTTCCAAAAGCTTACCTTAGTATTGGGTAGCAAAATTGCGGAAGATAGATTAGCAATGGTGACATACGAGGTGAATAGGGCAGTGAGATGTACATCCACTGCCTCCCTGCATGCACATCGTTGCTGAATCACGGGATGCGTACTATTCGAGCACATGCGGAGCGACCTCTACGCTACGCGTCAGCTCCGCATCATTGAGCATAAGCTTTGCCACAAGAAGGCGCAGCAGTAAGTACTCTGGCCACCTCAATATCGCACGATTGCAATTGTCCGACACCATGAGCTTCAGTTTTCCTGCTTGCACACGTTACAAATGCCACTGTTCCCTTTGGGCAGGGCATACTCTGGCGCAACCTTCAGCATCGATTTATGCTTCTGCGCTGGTCTCAACGCGACCTGCCTCGTTCACTTCTTCGGCGTTATTCTCTACGCCCCGGGTTTCGTCGTCGTCCCAACCATTCTGAAGCGTCCCCCCAATAGTACCCAACAGATCCGGCGATCTTCTGAACTGCACTGCCGACTGTCCTTGCTGTCGGTCAGTAATACTCACAGAATACTCCTGCGCTTCTGAATTGACCGCCCGTAGGTTGATTATGAAGCGATTGATGAGCACCGGTGACTACGTAGCCGGTTCATGAGCACCAAAAAGGAGAATGAGAGGGGAGTACACACCAGGGACGCAATGAATGTGGTCACGGGTGGTGCATCCTCAAGCACGACATCAGCCGTTGGCCCATGCGCTCATATCTGGAACGTACCGTAGAGGAGCGGTAAGTCAGCAGCGGGGTTATATTGCTCGCCAGCAGCACCCTATTTATCGCTTTCCGTGAGAATTTCCTCTGATGAACGGCTTTATTATCGCGCCTACATGAAATATATAGTTCCTGTGTTGGACAGCTAGGTCTCAGCGGCAACGACGCGATCACGCGTGGAGAGTTTACTAGCCGTCACGCAATAGACATGTCGTCAGCGACACCTTGACGTTGACGCCGCGCGCGCGT